GCAAAAGTCTTATTTATTACAAAGAAAGCACAATGCTAATACACAAAAATGTAAGGTAACAGAGAACATAAGAAATATGTTATGCAAGTTCGATATCTTGGCTGGGCTCCAGGAAAAATGCCTGACTGGCATTTAATACCACATACAATCACAACCCACATCAACATCCTCATTTACCCCCTGTATAGTTATCTGTCCAATAAGCAAACATCAGTAAAATTTCTGGACTGTGGTTATCCTCTATATCGTCTAGCAGATAGAGTTGTCACACTGCAGGCAAATTCCTTGGCCCAGGTCAGCTTTTCAGCACCAGCTTGCTCTTTGATCTTGTGTTAAATAAAAGGCTAATAGGCACTCTCATTTCTACATCACCAGGAGGTTTGAGGCAATGCAAGAGCATTGCCTCAAACCTCCTAGTGATGTGGAGATTAGAGTGGAGTGTTATCTCCATATACCACTGCCATGGGGTATGCATGGATCTGTCATACACACCCTGTTGTGTAATCCTGCTCTACTGGTATTCCAAGATCTCCAATAGTGACCAGATGGCTTATGAATAATCATACACTAACAGTCCAGAAATGTCCAATATTAAAACATGTTGTGCCCTCCAACCCCATAGCTCTCAATTTGTTTTCAAATTTTGGTGAGCCTTCTGCTCTCTTCTCAGAGTTTCCATATGTATTTCATCTGCATTCACCTTCATTCTAATGGCCAGACTGAAAGAATCTAATAAATCACTAGAGCTTTTCTGACAATGCTTTTCAGGTAATCAACCAGATTTGGCCCTCCCATTTGCTCTAGGCAGAATTCACTCATAATATGATTATTATTATTATCAACATTCCTCATCCGAGGTTTCACCCTACTTTTGTGTAAACAGTTACCATTTGAAGCTCTGCTCCCTCTCCAACTTGTTTGTCAGCACAGTAGTCCAAAACCTTCACACATTTGAAAGACTGTTCATGATAATCCTACATCCACAGCATCCTACTAAAACCTTAGTGTGGCTTTCTGCTGAATACATTCCTCTCAAAGTACCATCACAAGACTCGTCAGGCCATACCAGATTACTCAGAAGATAAATAACATTTCCTTCCATCTCAAATTGCCCCCTTTCTTAAAGATTCCCAATATATTTCATGTCTGCTTGCTGAAACCTGTGCACCCTCAGACTTTAGTGGCCTACAGATCTCAAGTACTGACAGATGGACAAGAAGAGTACTAGATACAAAGGATTGTGGATTCCAGAATGATCAGAAGCTCCTGTCAGTACCTTATTACTATTGCAAAGGCTATGGCCCTGAAGAATGTTCCTGGGTCCCGGCCTCATTGGTTAATGTGAAACATTTGGTAAGAAAGTTTCCCTAGTCTCATTCAAAGAAAAAAAACTCCTAAAGGGTCCGAAGGCTCCTCATCAATAGGAGAGTGATATTAGGATGCCTACATACTTGCTTATCTGCTAGTGGCCCCACTGTCTGGTTCTGGCTCTCTCTCCTAGCAGTGGAAGCCTGCGTTTTTTTTTTTTTTTGGAACGGTTTCTTCCCTTCCCAGCTAGCATTTCTCTTGCTGGGTAACAGGAAGCAACCTTTCAGCCCTACACAGTGTTTGCTCATTGCTGGCCTGTATTTTCCACATTTGGGTGGTCACATGCCTCACAGCCCCAAAATTGTTCCCTTTAAACATTGTCTACCTGTGCCCCAGTGCTGCGATACCTTACTGCAGAACAAGTGTGTCTGCATATTTTTTCTGCTTGTTCCTGCTACTGACCTTTGCTACATTATTATATCCCTCTACTGTCTGCTGCCTGTCCTGACCTTTCCTATGATAGACATCTTTAAATATTTTGCCATCTGTTCCTTTAATGTTTTTTTTTACTATAAATCTATACATCTTAAAAATTTTCAGTAACTTAACATAATTCATCATTTATCAATTTAGTTGGTTTACAGTTTTCCATATTAGATTATTGTGTGACATTTGTAATGAATTACCTGAATTACTGTTTTTAAAATCCTAGTTTCACAATGCATTTACAGTTTTTTTGTTTGCAGGGTGAAGAAGATGGTATGTACAAATCACTTTATTATATACTTATTTATGTCTATGTTAAAAGTATTATGTAGATCTCTGTAAAGGCAAAAAAGGTAAGATAGTCCCCTTATAGTTTCTCTTAAAGATTTATTATCTGCTTAACAAATCCATTTACAAATGTTTAAAGCTATTTGATGAGCTGTATTTTGATAGAAGATCCAAGGGACTAAAACACACTTCATCCAGAGGCAGGGCCAAGTTTCTCTTGTAGTACCACAACATTTGGCACCTAAAGAGCCATCCTTTTTTATGAGAATGTTTTATTGTCAAATCAAATATAATACAATTTACCACATCACTGATAAAATATTCTATTTGTAGTTAAACTCTGATTTTTTACATTTTGCAGTCCTAATCTACACAAAAAAAAACAGATTTTAATACCACAAATCTCAATAAAAAATGTTAGAAAGTAAGTGCAGAAAGGTAATAACAAGTAATTAATGTGATCCCTTGTGAGATATTTGCGTCATCACTGTCCCCAACAATTCCTCATTTACAGGCATGTTTTTGTATAGGCTTACCTTCAAAGTCACTGAGCGATTATTAAAGGGCAAAACATGTGAGACTTCATTTGGGCTTTAGTTCTTATGCGTCTTTTTATACAAGAAAATATTTTGTTTCAGAAGCTGCAGAATGGCATTGCATTCTGTTATTAACTCTGTTCTATCAAGACACCCAGATCCATATCTATCATTACTGATTAGCCCAATTTTAGAACCCAAAAGTATATAATATATGCATGCATGAGGTGATTGTAGCCGTATTGGTGCACTTGATACAAAACAGAGTACTGCTCGCGATACCTTTTTAATTTGCACTAACATCCACATTTGCCCAACTCTGGGCAAATAAAAAAAAAATTATCCCTTACAGTGGGGCCGTATATGCACTACAAGGGTTAATTCTTTATGTCTAGGGAACAATGAAAGTAGATATACCTACCCAATACTCTGCTATTTCCCGAAGCTAGATTGGTCCCCACAGCTTCTGCACCCCCACGCTCCACCAGTCTAGGGACCAGAGCAGATTCCATAGCTCTGCTCTGGACGTGAGGATGCAGAGGGACAGTCCATTGTCAAATAGTGGGGGAGTGCCACCTGCCAGGGGTGTGGAGGATCAGGTAAGTAAAACAGTTTCTTCTAGAAGAGTGTTAAAGAAAATTTGAAATATTAGCTTATAAACAACTCTGGACCATATCATTTGCCACTGTGGAGCATTTTAAGTTATGCCAAAATATTGTTCACCTACTGTACATCATCTCCATTATATTCTGCCATATACAGCGAGCTAAAGAAAATATTCAATATGTTTATTTTCACTTTGTCTCCAGTAACCAACACTGAGTTATCATGTTTTTGAGGGTCTATGTTTTGAAACCTAGTCATATTACTATGATTATATTTACATATGCTTGTTCTTTACAGCTTAGGTGTATTAAAAATCAGGTTATGGTCACTGTTATAATTGTCTTTAAAAGGAAATCTGTAGTAAGGCCACCTTTACTGATTGCTGATTTTGTCATAATAAGATTTTGTAATAAGCTCTACATTGTTTTAGGCATAGTATACACGATCATAAAATGATACGACAAATACCGCTTTCGAAGTTATCTTATACAATAATCTGATTGTCAGTATACAGCTTTCACCCAAAATTATTATTATTTTTCTCGTACGATACCAGATCATTTCTGTTTAATCAGTACAGTTTTTGTCTGAAATTACAATACAAATACAATACATTACATCACTTCGAAATTTTATTCTGTCATTCAAGAATTTTTTAACTTTAGACTTTAAAAACCTCTTCACTTTCGATATGAGACTAGCATACAAAAAAAAAAAAAAAAAGGATGATCAGTCGTCTGATATTCTCATTGTGTGCATGTGGCTTTACATTAAACTTTAACACCAAACATTTTTCAGTACTAAATAAAGTAACCAAGAGTTAATATTATCAAGCATTTTTTTCTGGCACTGTAGGTTTCCTTTTGGTGTTGATAATCTAAAACAAAACAGGGATAATACTCTCGCTAGTGTGAACCTTGAATACATGAAATAGTAACAGGAGAGCAGGAGAGTGATTCAGACAAAATCCACAACAAAGAATTGTTGGAATTGTCGAAATAAAATAATAATTTACGCATACGACACTTCTTTTTTCTGCTCTGCTCCCCTTTGGCTAGGACTTATGACTTAGACTTGTCCCATTTTTGCTACCAGGCCGCAATGCCTAGCCATTGCACATGTACTTATTTATTTATTTCTTATTTCTTCATTTGTATGTCACCTTCAAGTATGTTTGTGTTTTCCTTTCACCCGAATGGAGGTTGGCCTACCCTAAAGTCTAGGTGGAAGATCTGTGGCCATCAGGTTCCTTCCTCTGTTGAAATGGCGGGGGGGGGGGGGATGGGGGGGTGTCTTGTTAGGAGAGCCCCGCACCTAGTACTCAGTGGTTGACTTTGGCTGACCATGGGGAGAGGGGTCCGCAAGCCTTTTGGGTTGGTCGATCACAAGTGTGCCTTTCCCCTTTCAAGAGCCTTGCACCAAGGAGGATTTTGGGCCAGGGAACAGTCACAGAGAGAGATACAAAAGTGCACTTTGTGTGTGTTTTTCATGTGCACTTTTTAGTTCACTTACATGTGTTTTGTTTTTGTGCACCTCTGCAGCAAAAAAAAAAAAAATTCTTCATATAATAATAAGAGCTACTGTAACATGTTTTGAATGCCTCCAAATGTCTAGATCCATCCATATGTCCCCTAGCATCAGGGCTAAAAAAAGTACAAAATAGCAAAACATTTTACATAATGATAAACATGAAATTGGCATATAAATATAAAGCATAAGTTTGTTTACTGCTGTTTATTGCAATACAGGTTCCCAAAAACTTTATCCACATTCTTCAAACACCTTCCCTTCTACATCACCTAAACCTTCGATGAGGAGCATTCATTCAGGATCCAATACTTTGCCTGGTACAGATAGGTATGTATTAACATAATTCTATACTGAATGTGCTTTTTAACCAAAACAATTTTTAAATTCAAAATCCAGGAAAATATTAACCCCCTCCCCACATTTTGAGGGAGAGATTTAGATTTTTTTTTTTGTAATGGCAGTGATCTGTCATCAGGGGTGTGATGAAGGTTAATATTTACCTGAAAATGAGCTTTGATAATTTGAGAGGAGTTGCGCACACATTTTGTCAGTAACAGATGTAGCACTACCCCATTAGGAGTTGCTGAAGTTTTGGGTCCCCCCTGCAGTCCTGCACAGCCAGACAAAACACTCATTTCCAGACAGACTTGCATTCAGGAGTCAGTAACCAGTCCTTAAGATTGTTTTGAAGTTATTTTATGGGATTTAGAACTTGGATGGGGTAAGGGGTGTAATGGATGTCCAAAGGAAATGAGAAACTGCAGACAACTTCCTGAACTATGTACAAGTGGTTACAATAAACTGTCTCTTCTGGAGGGCTAGCCAGTGTTTCCTGGAGTACCACCCCAGACCCCAGATGCTCCTCTATCTGGCTTCCTGGAGGAATCCCTGGACAGGGGATCCAGTGTCTGCCACATAAAAAGGGTGAAATAGTCCTGGGTGGAAAGCTAATCCAGTTACCCACTAGAGTGCCTCCTTCCCCTATCTGGCCCAGGGGGGTGCAGGTCTACCCACTTATTCCTTCTCCTGTGTTGCTGGTGGGTCGGGGGCTGCTACCAGGACTTCTAGCTGGGCTGCTCCTTCTCTGCCATGCAGGTGGCCCTCTCTCAGGGGGCTGGTGAAGTTCCAAGCTTTCTGCCTTCCCAGGTCCTCCTGCCTAGAGGTGATCCCTTCTCCCATCTCGGCCCATTCGCAGGCTCCTGCTCTTCAGTCTTACATTCTCCTCTTCCACCTGAACTCTCTTGCAGCTGTCAGGGTCTGTAACTTTTAAGGACAATCCTGACCCCAAGCCAAGCCTCCTGTTGGGGATTGGTCAGGAGCCCTCAAGAGTGCAGACCAGCCACTCCTTAACTCAGCTCTGACCCGAATTTAACCTCCCTATGACTATTGCACCTGGGCTGCTACTCGGCCCCTGTATAACAGTTTGAGTCTAGCTCCCCCTAGCCACCTAGGAGGGTTCTACACAGAGTGATACTGGGATGTAGTTATCTATTATTTTAAAAAGAAAACACTTCTAGAGCAAGATAGGTCATTGAACAGGTTTTGAATGCAACAGTTTTTAATTTTTTTCATTCTAACAATGAGAGCTGATTCACACATGTGCAGAGTAGATTGAAGCTCAGGGTTCACAGCTAATTGACACAGTAGTTGCTCAACAGTTCATGTCAGGTTTACATCAGGTTCAGGACAGGATTAGGTCAGGATTTTAATCTATTCATACATTTGTAGTTTAGAAACGGTTTGATTCAGAAATTGTACATGACTTTTTCAAATCACACGGAATCCGTACCAGTGCGCCACACATATGTGAACAGGCACCATAGGAAGCAATGTAATTTCACATGTCATGTGGATTGGATGCAGTTCAAACCGCATCCAATCTGCATATATGTGAATTGGCACTGAATGCCAGTGTATTGCAGGAAACATCAAAATATGCAGAAGTTCTTAGGAGTTCATAGAATTAGAAAGGTTTTACAGGCCTTTTATAACATAGCAAACTAGATCAGATAACAAGCTTTATATTTATGTAGCACTACCCCCTTAAGGGTTGCTGTTTAATTGGGTCCCCCTATAGTCCTGCACAGCCAGTCATTTAGCATTTTTCCACACCCGCTCTCATCCGTAGACAGAAAACAGTCCTTGAGCCTTTGTTTGTTATTTTATTGAAGGGATTCGAACTTGGATAGGGTAAGGGGTGTATAGGATGCCCAATGGAATCGAAATCTGAGGGCAACTTCCTGAACTATTCACAGCTTCTTTTCTCTGACACAGTCTCTGGTGGAGTGCTAGCCAGCAGCTCCTAGTTGTACCACCCCAGACCCTAGATGAACTCCTCTTTACCCAGCAATCTGGAGACTCTCTTCCAGAGTAGGGCATTTGGCTCCTGTTAAATGAGGTACACAGTCACTTGAGGAGGGCTAATCTGGTTTCCCACCAGAGTGCTCCTTCCCCTATCCATCAAGGGGGTGCAGGTGTACTCACTCAGATCTTCTTCCTGTACCACTTGTGGGATGGCTGCTGCTACCAGGCCTATCAGCTGGGCTACTCTTCCCCCCATACAGGTGATCCTCCCTCAGGGGGCCAGTGAGTCCCAAGTTTTCCTGCTTTCCAGCTCCAGGCTTGCAGGGAGGCCCCATCCCACTAGGCCTCCTGGCAGCCTTCCTCCTCCAATCTCATTTCTTTCTGCTTCACACTTCTCTCCCACCACCACACTCCTGCTACTGAGCAGGCTTTTCCTCTTTTAAGGGAGTCCCAGCCCCTTGCTAAGCCTCCTGTTGGGGATTGGCTGAGGTCCCTCAATAGTGTAGCCAGCCACCCCTCAGATCCATCCACTGCCTCCAATTCCCTCCTCCGAAAGTCTCAGAGTAGGGGGAATTTCCAGAAGGGCTGGCCTGCAGAATCTCTCAATCCTAGCCAGAATTTGACCCCTCTGGCTATCTTACCTGAGCTGCTACTCAGCTCCTAACTAACCATTAGAATCTAGCTCCCCCTAACTAAATTAGGAGGGTGCTACATTTATGGCCAGAGAATAATGTTTTTCACAACACTATACTTCAAAAAATTGGGAATAGAGAATGGAGTAAAAAAGTATTTGTTTATTTAAAAACAAACATTGCCTATGAACTGTTAATGTGTTGGCCCATTTAAGATCATGTTTATATATCTGCAGTGCAATACTGTGTGCTCAATATAGCATGTTAAGCTATGCATTAGTGTTCATTGCGCTATGACAGCCCATTGATTTTGAATGGGTTGCAAAGGAACTATAACAGACCTGCACTTTTTTCCAGCACTGCATAGAGCACAGGTGGTTTAGGTCTATGCATTGGGATGCACTAAAATTCAGACCTGTTGTGGGCAGTTTGGGAATGCATTGGGAGTCATTCAAAATTAATGGTACTGCAGTGCACTGCAGTATGTGCATGGCCATTTGTTATGGTAATGCATGATAAAACGTGCATGTTACTTCAAACCAAATATGTGAATCTTACCTTGCAGTCAAAGAAAAAAATATATATTTGTTAACAGAAAATGTACTGTTTTGTCCTCGAAAATGTTCCACATTTAATGAATGAGTAGAATTTTTGTCTTTTATAATGGACATGGGTTCTGTCCTGTTGTGTCCTTCATGTCTTTTTGAAATAATATTTGACAGTCTCAGAACTTTGTGATGACTGCAGTTAGTGCTGGGGCAAGGTTCTCAAGTACTTTAAACAAAAATGCAAAGCAGCAACCTTCCCTACTCTTTTTATTCTGCTTTTAAAGTCAATGACTGAGACTCAGGATGCTTCTTAAGAGGTCCAGCTGAGACTATAGCTGCCATTAGGTGTCTGCAACGTGACAAACTAGTATCAGACACTTCTTGGTCTGCCCCCAAGCCAGGCCTTGAAATTTTCACTTGCCTATTTGCATTTGGCGAGTGGAAATAATGTGGGGGCAAGTGTGTGCTAACACTCTGCACAAGACAGGGGACAGGCAGCGGCACGCTGGGCTGTATATTATTCCACAGCGAGGACAGGGCCATGAGTTCCACTGACTCTCTGACCAATTCTAGAGCAGTGGGTGGGCTCCACTCCAGTGTACGGGGACAAGATGAGTGTGACTTGACATGCAGTGACCACTCTGATCCCGAGAATCGGACGCCGGGACCCCAACAGTTCACCCCCATGGCACTGCTGTTCCTGGAGCTGAAGGAGAGATGAGGAGCCCAGGTACTCGGAGAGAGGACAAAGGACACTCCACTCAGATGGATGACAGCCACTGACAACACAAGTAAGAACCTCTCCAGGCCCCCCCGAACTGTGGATCTTTGCGCCGGAACACACCATCATTGTGTGTGGACTCAGTATTTGTATCAGTGGTTGAATTGTACCGTGTCATCGGTATCAGTAAAAAGGGACAATGCCCCATGCTTGGTGTCAATGGGAGGAATGGTGCCCCATCATTGGTGTCAGTGGGAGGAATGGTGCCACATCATTGGTGTCAGTGGGAGGAATGATGCCACATCATTGGTGTCAGTGGGAGGAATGATGCCACAACATTGGCATCAGTGGGAGAAATAGTGCCCCATCATTTGTGTCAGTGTTAGGAATAGTGCCTCATCATTAGCGTCAGTGGAAGGAATAGTGCCCCATCGTTGGTGTCAGTGGGAGGAATGTTGCCCCATTGTTGGTGTCAGTGGCAGGAATAGTGCCTCAGCTTTGGTATCACTAGGCGAATTAGTGCCTCAGCATTGGTGTCCCTATTGATGTAAAGAACTTATTTTCCTTTTATGTTTACATTGTTGTTACTATTTATTTTTGTAACTTATGAATAAAATTATTAATAGTGTAATTTAACCGCTTTCCTGCCACCCTATAGCAGAAATCCTGCTACAGGGCAGCAGGAGTGCACAAAATCACGTATATATACACGTGATTTTGCATTTCCGGGTAGGGGGCATGCATGGACCGCACGCGTGCCCTACCTGTGGCACCATTCACTGTCAATCACCGAGTCCCGGCTGGTGATTACTCGCCGGCACATGGTGATTGCCAAGTATTACAGACGGGGGAGAGAACTGTATATAAACCACACAGATCTCTCCCCTGTCAGCATAGCAGAGCCATACAAAGCAGTGTGCTTACAGTGGAAAGCGCATACACACAGCCCCATAATAAAACACACACAGCACACAGTTAACCCGTTGATCGCCCCAGATGTTAACCCCTTTCTGCCCAGTGCCATTAGTACGGTGTCAGTGCTTTTTATTAGCACTGATCACTGTATTGGTGTCTCTGTGGACGTCAGTGACACCAAGTCAGTTCCCCCCCAGTGTCAGAATG